TGAGAACATGGTATGGTGATGTTAGACCGAAGTTAGTTATAACTTCATTTTGGCGATTGACTAGGAGGTTTGTTAGAATATTAATGATAGGTGTTGGTAATGAGAGTCGGGAGAGAGAGTATTTGAAAAGATCAAAATTGACAGAGTCATAGGCTTTGCTCATATCCTGAGACAATAGCCAGAGCTCTTTATAGTTGCAATTGGCATCTTCAATTAAATTGTTAAGAATATGTATAGGAATTGATGTGCTATTGCCTGGTAGAGCTACATAGTTGTAGGGTGAAAGTATGGGGTGCTGTGAAAAAACTTGGTTTAGTCTATTGGTAAGGATTTTGGTATAGATTTTCCGGACATGTTCAATTAAGCTTATAGGCCGAGTAAGATTGAGGTTACCATCGAATGAATTGTTTTTGGGAATGGGGTATATTCTACCATGTTTCCAGAGTTTGGGCATAGAATTTTGGGAGAGGCAGCGGTTAAAGAGTGAAGTAAGGGCAGAGATGCAATGCTGACTAAGATGCTTGATCATTTCATAGCTTATGCCTGTAGGGCCACAGGCTTTGCCGTTAGGCAGCTTGGAAATAATTTGAAGAACTTCATCATTAGTTATTGCGCTAGTAAGAGGAGTATACCATGCTGGGTTGATATGAGAAAGTGGAAGATAGTGTTGTTTCCAAAAGTCATGAAAGAGTGTTTGGTTAATCGGTTTATATGCGGTCCAGTTAAGAAAATGTGATTGAATGTGTTGTTTAATTTGAAGGGGATTGGTAATAAGTTGGTTTGGAAGTTTAATATTGTTAAAGTGGACAGGAGGTTGGTAGCGGTCTAGTATGCTATTAATAGCTTGGGTGGGCTTAGAGATGAGTGTTTCACATCTTCTTTCAGAGGCCTGGTTGATCTGGTGACGGAGACGTAAGGAGTGTTCAAGATGGTAAGCATGATATACTTGCTTCCATATGCTGTATATACTCTGTAGCCAGGTTTGGACAGAATCATAGTCAAGAGAGCTTAAAGGTTGTATATTGCACTTAGCATAAGAGTTAATAATAAGAATTTGAGAGTTGATGTGAGGTAGATAGAGATTAGAGTGATTGCTGTTATTTTTGAGAGATTTGATGAGGTTGCCAAGTTTTTTAAGCCCAAGATGTAGAGCAGTGCATTGTGGACTATATTTATGATTGTAGCTGCGTTTACGTGAGATCTTATTAGGAATAGTTTTAATTGCAGCTTGGGTTATATACTAAATTTATTACTTTATCATATATATATATATATTTGCTTATTATTTAAATTTTAAAAAGTTTTATTAGATAATAAACTGCTTATAAAGATAGCAGATATTTATAAATTATATTATTATAGCAGAAATATTAACTAGTCAAAATCTTTTAATAAATATAAATATAATACTAAACTTGTAAAGAATATTTGTAAAAAATTGTAATTAAAGTTTGTATTTTCTAAATAATATATTAAATTGGCTAAGAAAAAAAACATTATTTTGTACTACTTTGTTATTTTAAATTTCATATATATTAGGGGAGTATCACTTATTATATAATTATAGCCCCTCAGACCCAGGTATTTGGAACCTCCTAAAAACCTCTAAAAACTTAAAAAAATTTTTATGAGTTAACAGTTTTTATAGTAATGGCCCGTTTGGTGCAGCAACTATATTAACGGTTTTGTGGATTAACAGTTTTTATAGTAATAGCCAAGTGGCGCAGCAATATTTGGTTAACAGTTTTTTTCTCTGCAGGATTATGATGTTATAACAGCCTCATGTAGTGCAGTAATTAACAGTTTTTAACAGTTTTTAATAGTTACAAGGTATGTCATAATAGCCACATTTATTATAGTAGTTAATAGTTTTTAATGTCATAACAGCCCTATTTGTTACAGTAGTAAATAAATTATATGTCTACAATAATTAAATATATAGCCAATATTTATATGAGTGCTGCCAAAGAAAAACCCACAATTGGGCTTTCAATATTCAGGTTTTTTCTTGGCGGCACTCATATGTAGTACATCAAAAAACAAGAATTATGGTGGGTTTAGAATCAACTTAAGTTGATTCCAAATGCATAGAAGTTGTAATAAAATTTCAAAAATGCCCAAGTTTATAGCAAATTCTAATTTAGCTATTGCTTACACCATGATTGCACATTAATAAAGTATCGAATTTATTACTTTCAAATTTATCAATTACTAGTATCAAATTTAGAATCAACTTAAGTTGCTTCTAAATTTCTAGAAATGGAATTCCAAATATAGTTGCAACTCAAGTTAATTCTATATTTGATACTCGTAATGAATGTGTAATTGATAAATTTAAAAGCAACTTAATTCTAAATTCAATACTTGTGTAATTAATTGATATAAGCAGTGGTTAAGATAAAATTATGTAATTAAAGTAGAATCTAAAAATTGTAATAATGAAGGGCATCAGAAATGACATACCATGAACCTAGCTAGTATAATGGGTAAACTAAGTATTATCCTAAAGATCAATTATGGTTAATCCTAAATTTAAACTTTTGTTAGATGTATCAACAGTTTTCGTATCAGTGCTCTATAGAAAGACTTTCGTATAATTGGCTGTTTAAATTAATTTAATTTTACATTATTTATACAATTTAAAGTACTTTTTAAAAAAAATAAAACTACAAAGAATAAACAAAAAAGAAGTATATAGAAAGTTTTATTAGGATTGTAGGACTTCACTATTAAAAATAATCAAAATGATTTCTGGTTTTAGAGAAGTTAGCGTGGTAATAACCTAATTCTATCTATCTTTAAGAAGTTGCTATTATGCTAACTTCTCTAAAACTAAAAATCAATCTGATTATTTTTAATAGTGGAATCCTACAACCCTTATAAAACTTTTTATATACTTCTTTTTTGTTTATTCTTCGTAGGTTTATTTTTTTTAAAAAGTACTTTAAACTGTATAAATAATGTAAAATTAAATTGATTTAATAGCCAATCATGCAAAAGTCTTCCTATGGATCAATGCCAGTAAATATGACCAAACCTATAGTTCATTGAATATTTAAGTACACATTCATGCCAGTGCTATCAGTATCAGGACATAATTCCAATTTTACAAATATTTAAATTTCAAGGCTTTTACAATCTAAAATAACAATAATATGACTTTATGTTTTAATGAACGTTGATTTTTAATATTTGACAATTTTTGATTAAAAAAAAAATTAGTAATCTCCTTTGTCCTACTCGCTCTTTTATTCAACAAGAAATGTTGTCGAAAGTAGATTTGGCCTTATCATAATGGGACTTGGCGAATAGGTATCTTAAGATCATCTTTAGGAATAACTCTAACAACTTATTTAACAAGATTGTCTTTGTCGAACTTTGCATTTGACACTTCTGATTTAGGAGTAGAAGTTCTATTACGATCATAATTCTTGTTATAGATTCTTCTACTATCATGACCTCTACAATTTTGATGTACAATATAGTCACTTCTTCTAGAAAATCGGGTATTGTTTGGTACTAGATGATTATTGCTCATAACTATTATCAGAAATATACAGAATTAAAATAAATAACATTAGGATTTCATATTTTATTGTAAAATTCTAAAAAAGAAAAGAACCAACTCTGCTCAAAAGTTATAGTTGAGCCAGTATTGTAAAGTATGCCCACGTATTATTTATCAGATCTTAATATGAGACTAATCTTATATTTGACAATGTTCTTCTTGTCAACAAAAACGTTAAAAGTGAAATAGCTTATTATGTTGACTAAGCCTCTAGCTCAAAGCTAAGAAAGTACTGATTTATCTGATTTTTCTACAAATGACAGCACTATAACACAATACTTGTCATCCTAATTTTAAATGCAAATTACACAATTTTCATAAATAGCTATTTTACTATGAGTATCTAGAATGTACAAGAGAATTATAGAAGATCAGTATAATATAGGTGAGCAAATTTATTTAATACAGGCCAATTTTTAGAATCTATACAATGCTAATATATATAACACTTTTATAGATTCTAAAAATTGGCCTACACTATATAGATTTGCTCATCTATACTTATACAAGTTTATTTATAATATAAATTAAAGATCTTATGCGAAAACAAAATTAATAGAAGAGTATCGCATAAATAGTTATATTGAATAAATTGATTAATAACTTACAAGAAAGTTAGTCATAGCAAAAAATATGTGGTCTCGTGATCACTAACCACTTCCAGCCAGATAATTCAAATTACACATTATGTTTAAAACTAATAGTTCTTTAAATATTAAAAATTTGATATATATTTAAAGAACAATTAGTCTTCTAAGTGCAGTGTGTAATTTGAATTATTTGGCTGGGAGTAGTCAGTAATTAAGGGACTGCGACATATAACCTATCTATACTTACTGACTAGATAAAGCAAATTAAATAAATTAATAAATTTAAATTTAGATAGTAGAGGCAGCATTTGTAATAAGGTATTGTCGTGATGCTGCATGGTACCTGTAACCTGTGATACAAACACATGTTGATCGAATGTCAGTGATCTAATTATGAAAGTCTAAAATAGTGATTGCATAAACAATGTAGTAATCAATAATGATTAGTAATAATATATAAGGCATTGATCCAAATAGGGAAGTACCTAACTTCTGTTCCTGCTATTTCCTTTGAGTCATTTTTAGTGAATAAACTGTCTTATCTGTGTGGACATATTATTATCAGTGGTAGTATCTGGTACAATACTCCAGTTATCATATATTAGCCAAGGAAATGCTTAAACTTTGTGGAATCGAGCCAAAAACAATATAGTTAAGAAACTCTATGACAAGTATCCTATAGTATTTATAATTTCATATACATACTTGCTTTTAATTTCTTCATTCATTACTGGCTTCTTTACACAGTTATATGCAATGTCATAGGCATTGTGGAATCTTCAATATTAAGTTTTTGGAGATTTGTAAATCTAATATTGATTGTATTCTATATAGTTGGGGCTGTATTTTAAGAAATAAGAAAATCGTAAAAAGAGAGAAAGAAGGAAAAAATTAATAAGATAGAAGCAAAAGAAAGTATGTTAAAGAATGTTAAAAAAAATAACAAAGAATGTTAAAAAGAAGACTAACAGAAAGAAGAGCAAAAAAGAAAACCAGGATCAATTAATTGCTAAATCCTTTAGCACGGTAATCAAAGATAGATTTAGTCAAAATTACCTTTCATTTGCCAACAATAATTAATTATTATTGGTAAAAAGATTCAAAACAGTAAGCTGTTGAATATTAAGTATATTAAATAGATTAATTCCTGGAACAATCTATTACAGCCCAAATCAAGTAAATGTTTAAATATTGGCTCCTTACAGCGATTGAGACTCTTTTCATTAGTATATTTATATTTATCTTAATATAGTAATACAGATACTTTATTTGGTTTAGTGTATAATTCAAATATATATATAATACCACACTGTTGAAAAAAGTCTAAACTGCTAAAAGGCCTATTAAGCAATAGTATATTTTTTGTGTGCATTGTTAGAAGAGCAAAACCAACATAGTAATAGATCTGTGATATCTAATTTTACCTATTTTGCTAGTAATGCAAACCCCCTAAAATAGAAATTAGTTATAATATATTATTCCTCTAGATGTGCATATTTTTAGAATCTGTGATACCCAATTTTACTAGTAATGCAAACCCCTAAAAAGGAAATTAGTTATAAGACATTATTCCTCTAGACATATCGAATATGGTATTACTATTTAAAAAAAAAGGTTGCAGTATCTTCTATCTGCTAATAAAATCTTCTAAATGCATTAGATGTGGTATTACTATTTAAATTTCTCTGGGCATCTCCTGTCCATTTAAGAGCTAAGAATTAATATATAAAGTTATAAAATTTTAAACACAAATTTTCTCCATGTATGTCTAATGCGAAATCATAGTAGCTCTGTCTATTAAATTATGAAAAATTAGATTAGAACAAAGGTATACATAAATAATATTTCTTATAAATAGATAAAACTAGTATCTATATTGAATATAAAATTAGCTGCATAACTGAGTTATTTAATATAGACTTTCTCCTACTATGTCAATGTAAGTCAGTAGCTTTCTTCATCTATTAATCTATTAAATAAAAGATAGGTACATAATTTCTTAGAATGTAAGAAATAAAATTTACAGTACTCCTGTTTATTAATTATTATAATGATATTTTCTCCAGGTGCATCAAGTATAATATTGAAGTATTCTTCACTCATAGCTATAAAAATATTAAGAATAAAAAAAAAACTCTTTCTATAGATTTTTAGTACAAAAAATTTTCCAAAACCGTCCAACAAAAAAGTTCATTTTTACAATATTTTATTAAGATAACATAATTTTTGCTCTAACAAAACTTGCTCCTCATCTAAATTTACATATAATATAAAAATTTTAAAAGAAATGGATATAAACTCTCAAAGTTATGGCCTTTTAAGTCAAATAATCTTCTTTTAATGTTTACGCCTAAACTAGAGCCTTAACCTCTGTTCAAAATTAAGAACAAATTGCTCTACAAATTTTTCTCTTCAAAACGAGCTATAATAGAACTCTTTAGCTTCAATATTGACCAAGTTATAAGCAAAACAATTTTTAACTCTATTTACTTTTTCTCTTCTCTTTTACTTGGGGATTTTCTTTTTTCCCCAAAAATTAGAGATATTTTTCGTGTAATTAAGGCCATCCCAGCTGTGCTACCCATGTCCTACAATACTATAAAACTAGTGGTGCTCTTTAAATCACACTAAAATTGCATCATTTTAGCTAATATTGCACAATTTTAATATCTGCCTTTTTTGTAATTTCTATTTATACAATAAGATTTTTTTTGGTTTTGTGTAACATGTGATTATCACGTGACATTATGTAACAAAAAGCTTTGAAATCAAACCTACAGGTCACATAACCTCGTGTAACCTAAATTTAAGACCCCATTTTTACTTACCTCTGAATAGTATATATTATCACAACCCCTGTTCTATCCTTATACCCTATTTTCAACTTAGAAAAAATATTACAAAAAAATTAACTTTCATCACAAATTCTAAGTTAAATTTATTAATTTTTATCCTTTTTTGATTCTTCAAAATGCTCATCCCAACCCAGCAAGAACCAGATACTATTGACCTTGACTACTTCTATGCTTACTTTTTACAAGCTTTGGTATTGCCTTTCTTGAAGATAAACTGACTTATATTATTAAACCAATTCCACCAAGCCAGGAACCTTCTAACTGCCATATCAAAACTATATATACTAAGATAGCTACACACTTTTTCTGTGCACCAAAATCAATATCAATTGCTACATACTTATGTAGCAAATACTATACTCAATTTATTACTAAAAACAACTCTATTTATCAACCCGCTATTACATTTTCTCGAGTAGCTACTAATAAAAAGCCATTTCAAAAGGTACAGAAATTATCTAACAAATCTTAAAAACTTCTGACAATATTCCATCTTCTCCTACATGCCAACCTTGTCAGCATAACTGCACTAAATGCTTTAAAATTATTATTTGTCACTTCTATAGTAACAAACATCATTTTAACGAGCCTTTTACACTCGTAAACTAAGTGATTTACCATACTAACTGTGCTAATATTTTGACCTCCTCCTTTGCAACCTCCTCAAACATCCCTATTATCTCAACTGCTATCTCTTCACTTGATAAAGCCAGAAAAGACCTAACTCCTATTTTTCAAAATCTTCAAAAAAATACTATTTCCTCTAACAATTTATTCTCTACAGCAACTCTATCTAATATTGAGCAATTCCCTGTACTTCTCTTAAAACCCTCTTCAAATATCAACACTAGCAAATCCTTTCAATTCTCACAATCACATCCCCCAACAGAATCTATATATTCAAGCAAAGTTAATCACAAAACCAATCCTCTATCTTCTACTCTAATATCACTCATCTTTACTAATAACTCCCACATCTCTGTATCAAATACTCAACATTACTCTATGGATATTGATACTTTTGCCACTGATCTTACTAATACAATTGATAACAACTTATCTATTAATAATCTATACAATACAGAAACTGAAAGTAATGAATCTCCCAAACCAAAACATGATATCTTAAATGATCTTGACTAGTTCTAACACTTCTCTATCATCCCAGAAATGGAAAATCAAACACAATTAAGTACCAATTTCTTGATTTTATCAAACCTTATCTCATTGACTTTGCTCCTGGCAAACCTGTAAGGTTTAACAACAACAATACCAAAAATGACAAAAATTCTAAAGCATCTAGACATACCTTTAATTATCTCTTGGCCTCTCTAGCTAGAAAACATCCTAAATTTCTTCTAGATCTTATCTTTGATGCTAATCCCACTCATAACAGAGACTCGATCTTACCTTTCTTTATCATACTCGATATATTTAAATCCTTTTTTCTCCAATTCACCACTGTACTCTTTACTCACCTTGATTATAAAAAAATTCTTACATCCTTAAGCTCCATCCCCCCTTT